ATAAGTGAATAATACTTTTCTCAAGTAGACCACACATGAAATGAGTAACGGATGTTATTGTTTATATTATTATGTATGCTACAATACTCAGTCGTCGTCCAGGGGTCGTTGCAATAGAATTTTTATTTTGGATGTCAAAGACAATGTAATGTAGTAATTCAATTATTTATTTAGGAAAATTTAAAATAAAATAAGGTTTAACAATCTAATATAATTATAACATAATGCTGGCTTCCTAATTTGATGACTACGATTATTTGGAATAATTGTGCTTCGATGATTGTTCCGATTGTTGCTTCCACGTTCCTGAAATGTTGCTGTCAGACGACACTACTCATGCTAATCTTGATGTTTTGTCAGACGTCGTTAACTGGAGATTAGAAGTGTTATGATGGGTTACAGCCTTGGTTAGCATTCATTAATGTTAAGACGTATTACTACCCTAACTTATCCTACTAGTCAAGATGTATCATGACTACCTTGTCTTGATTTACATATAAGACTACATATACAATCTACTCGTCAAGACGTATGTACTTCCTTGACGCTATAGTTCTACTGACTTGTTTCGCAAAGACGTATTACTACCTTTAAGAGTATCCCTACAAGTGCCCTTGCTTGTACAATGCGCGTTTATTTATACTCAAACGACCGAAGCTTTTCCTGTAGCGCATCGGTACATTTGCCGTTGGTATTTTTGATACTTGTTGTCTTTTGCTGCTGTTGTTCGCCTGGGTGTAATTTCTGTGCTTTGTGTTTTCGTGTGTTCTTGAATTCGCCGTGGTTTGTATTTAGTTCAACCAAAACTTTTATGCTTTGACATTTGTTGTTTTGTTATTTAAATGTGCTTTCTTTTACTCAGCGTCAGTAGTGCCGGTGTTTAATATTTATATTTATTTATTAAGATTTAAATAAATATTACAAATATTAAAATGATTAAAATTATTAAAATTATTAATAATCAATATGATAATATGAATTCTTTTCTTTTATTTTTTTTATGTAGGTGGCTTAAACACTCCTGAAACTGTAAATGATACAACATATGGTACATCAAACCAACAAAAAACAACATCTTTGGGACAAAAGCGCCCCCAACGTCGTGGTGCTAAACAACAACCTGATCGTCCACAGACAGCTCTATTCTGCTTAGGTCTGAAAAATCCATTACGTGAAATCTGCATTAATATTGTTGAATGGAAGCATCCTTAAACATATTTTAAAAAAATCAAATTTTATATACGTAAAATTTAAACGGAGGTTTTCTTAATCGCAACAAACTTTTAATTTATAGACCATTTGAGTATCTAATTTTATTAACGATATTTGCAAATTGTGTAGCGTTGGCTGTGTTTACACCATATCCATATAGCGATTCCAACGTTACTAATCAAACTTTGGTAATTATAAATAATTATTATCAGAAAAATAAAAAAGGTATATTGTTCTGTTAAAAAAATATTAAATTATTTTGCCTTTTCTTTACTTAAATTTTGTAATTCAACACATATAAATTTTACAGGACTTTTATTCATTTATTTACTAAGTATAGATCCGGATTTCATCATGCCAATGGTGCTTAAATTTCTGAAAAATATGACCTCAAATTAGATATTCATAATCTTATGCAGCTGAACGTTACCCAAAGACAAGTAGAACAAGTCACAATACTGTTAAGCACTTTTCATGGTGTTTATTTTATTGCTTTAAGTTTAAGATGTTTTGAAAGGTTTTCAAATATCATATCTGGATTAAGGGGAAATAATTATAGAAGTGTTATCTGAAAAAGATAGTGATAAGATTATTTGCAAATTGAGAAAAGTTACTGTATGTGTTATGCAAAACAAAAGTCCAAAAACGCTTACTCGTGGCACTTCACCAATAAGACCTTATTTTCCTGTTACAAAACGCTGGTACATAATTTTAAAACTATGATTAGATATGTACCACTGAAAAAGATTTTGTAGATTTTCTGACAAGATAGGCCTTCGTGGCAACATTTGTCAAATTCTTGTATCATACCAAGAATACAGCTGAACAGTATTTTTTGTTTGCGAATACTGATTAGATTTCGGTAGGTCTATTGTCACATATTTCTTTCTTAATACGAATTGGTGGTCAGAGATGATATTGTGATGGGCAAGATCTTTGATATTAGATGAAGATCAAGAAGATTCATTGACCTGTATGATGCCGTAACTGTGCGGCTTGGAATTACTATGGATATTTTTTATTATTTAGTATGTATGTATGTATATATATTTATTTTCATTTTAAAATTTCTTCATAACAAAAACACTGACTGGAATAGTTACCGTCAACTAATTTCAATTGGTCTAAATACCGAAGTCAGGTTAAAAACTGAATCTGACGTAACTGAAGCAGTAGAGCATTTCAACTCTTGTGTCCAAATGTCTGCATGGGAATCAACTCCACCAATTTCTAAAAGTGTTAAGCAAGATTATCCATTTAACATTAGATACCTGATTAAAGAAAAGCGTAGGATGAAAAAACATTGGCAACAGTCGAGATTCCCTGCGGATAAAACTCGCTTAAACAAACTGTGTAAACTCGTTAAAGCCCTTCTTTTAAAGTATAACAATAATCGCACGTCGATATACCTTCAAAACCTAAGTGCTTCATGTGATACAAAATATTCCCTTTGGAAAGCCATAAAAAAGAACAACAGACCGATTGTCTATCAACCACCTATACGCAAAATCGACAACTCATGGGCAAAAAGCGATATTGAAAAAGCAGAAACATTTGCGCTACATTTGGACCAGGTCTTTAAATCAAATGATAACCAAAATATGCCTGATGTCATGAATCAAAGGATTAATTTTCTACAAGAGCCTTATCAATTGGAACTTCCAATTAAAAGATATACTATTAATGAAGTTAGAGATGTAATAACAAAGTTAAAAGTAAAAAAAGCTCCAGGATACGATTTAATCACAGGCATGGCCTTGCAGCAGCTCCCACCAAAAGGATTTGTATTTCTCACTCATCTATTTAACGCTGTGATAATAAGGGGGTTTATTCCGCCACAGTGGAAGATAGCACAAATCTCCATAATACCGAAACCAGGGAAAAGCCCAGAAGACGTCAAATCATATCGGCCAATAAGTCTACTTCCGATCCTGTCAAAAGTTATGGAAATCCTGTTTCTAAAGCGCCTTACTCCGTTTATCCAACAAAACAGACTCATACCTGACCATCAATTCGGCTTTCGCCAAAAACATAGCACAATAGAACAAATTCATAGACATATCCATAGTGCGATAGATGGTAAAAAATATTGCACTGCGGCATTTATAGATATTTCACAAGCTTTTGATCGAGTATGGCATGAGGGCCTCCTGTTCAAACTAAAACTGTATCTACCTCTAAATTTTTTCATATTTATAAAATCATACCTCTCGGCTAGGCACTTTTTCATTAAGCATGGAAACGAAACTACAGTACTTCATGATATAGAAGCAGGAGTACCTCAAGGTAGCATAATGGGACCAATGCTTTATCTTTTATTTACTGCGGATCTTCCTTTTACCGATGAGAGTGTTATAGGTACATTTGCAGACGACACAGCTATTTTATCAGTTGACAGTGACCCAATCCGTGCTTCCACCAAACTTCAAACCTGCCTTGATAATGTTGCTCTCTGGATGATAAACTGGCGTATTAAACCGAATGAATCAAAATCTGTCCAGGTAACATTCACTACAAAACGTTCTACGTGCCCGCCGGTCTTAATAAACAATACTCAATTACCACAAGCTGTAGAAACAAAATACTTGGGCATACATCTGGATAGTAAGCTAACCTGGAAATCGCACATATTCAAAAAGCGTAAAGCCTTGGGTCTTAAATTACGAAACTTATTTTGGTTCCTCAGCCGAAATTCCAAACTGTCACTTGACAATAAGCTGCTTATATACAAATCTGTACTTAAACCTATATGGAGTTATGGGGCCCAATTATGGGGTACTGCAGCAGACTCAAACCTGGCAATTATACAGCGCTTCCAATCTAAAACACTACGAATGATCACAAACGCACCTTGGTATATAACGAATGAACAGCTACATAAACAATTACATGTTCGAACAATCAAGGAAGAAATAGCAAGTATTTTAAAGAATTACGCTCAACGCTTATATATGCACCCAAACCCTCTGGTTACTCAACTGATGTCCCCTTCCAATACCTTTACAAGGCTGAGAAGAAAAACATCGCGAGACATTTTAAATATGTATATGTAGACAATACACTTTTATTTTAAATATATATGGATATGTCACTGGGCATAGTCCATACGTGCCTTTCTTTTTATATCGTAATAACCATTATTACGATTTAAATATATATATATATTACTTATTGTCATTCATTCCTGACAGATTGTAATAAATAAATGGATTTCAAAAAAAAAAAAAAATTTTAAAATTTCAATTTTACAATATGATTAGTTTATCTTAAATTAAGAAATAAATAAATATAATCAAAATAGCGTCTGTGACACATGTCGTCCGTCGACTTTTAATATAATAGTAGTACTCGTGTTATAAATAGTTGTATAATAGTGAGTATAATGTTAAATTATTATATACACGTTATAAATAATAGCTGAGCTATAAAATATATATTAATTATTGTTATTGACCAATTTTAAAAGCGTTCGTTTATTTGATGCTTTAAAATCTTAAAATAAATTTATTTACCTCTAGTACTTAAAATTAATTCTTTTTTACTTACTTTTGGTCGCAGCAACCGTCTTGCCCATTCCGGAACTCAAAAACAAAAGGAAGCACCAATGACAATCAGCTGACACATGAACTGACAGTTCATGTGTGCACTGGGTTGCATTTTCCAATCATAGCTGCACGGTTGCAACGACCAAAGCAAGTTTACACATTTTACAAATATTAACTTTTAGGTATTGAGTGGAGTTCTAACATTCTCCCCTCAGTATGTCTTTAATAAGAATACGACTTACTCTAAACTGCCGCTCCACGAACATCTAATACGGCTAATTTTGCTGCAGGTCTATGATATTGCCCTCGAGTAGTCTGCACTACGGCGCTCCTGGTCTGCCCGTCCCGTGCTTTAATGGCACTAATTACAATTCCTTTCGGCCATGTGTAGCGAGGAGAATTTGGGTCAACAATAATGACGACATCACCTGCTTCGATGGGTTTTATCTTACCAAACCATTTCGTCCGTCTTGTCATCGTTGGAAGCACCTCTTGTATCCATTTTTTCCAGAACCGATCGGCAAGGTATTGCGAATGCCTCCAGGAGGATTTCACGTGCTCGTCGTTAGTATCGAACTTCCACGGCGGCTTGTTCCCGGAAGATGACCCTAACAAGAAATGATTCGGAGTTAACGCTTCTTCGCTTGCTGTTTCAATCGACAAATAAGTGAGCGGTCTGCTATTTACGATTGATTCTACCTCGCAGAACAGGTTATGCATCTTTTCATCATTAATTTTTGCTTGCGGGCTTATTATTACTCCTAACACTGTTTTTATGGATCGCACCATCCGCTCCCACGCTCCACCCATGTGCGGCGCAGCTGGTGGAAGAAAAACCCATTGTGTTTCCGGACTTGTAAATTCAGCTTGCAATTCATTGAAGTCCACGTTCTTTATTGATTCTCGTAACTCCTTTTCAGCTGCTGTTAAGTTTGTTCCATTGTCACTATAGATGACATTCGGCACTCCTCTTCGGGCTATGAAATTTCGTATCACTATACAACACGAACTGGCTGACAGGCTATAAGCTATCTCCAAATGCACTGCTCGACACGTAAGGCATGTAAAAACGACGCCATAGCGCTTCTCTGAGCGCCTTCCTACTGTTACAGTATACGGGCCAAAATAATCTATTCCAACATCTGAGAATGGTCGGGAGTATGCTGATAGTCGTGCTTCTGGTAACACACTCATCTCCGGCGGCTTTGGACTCGCATCGCGAACCTTGCAATGTTGACAATTATTTCTTACCTGCTTTAACAGTCTACGCAGTCCCGGAATGTGGTATTTCTGAAAGATTTCGTTAACCACCGTTTCATGATTTAGATGTTTCCATTTTCGATGATACCAGTCTACGATCAACTTAGTTATGTAGTTTTTCCTTGATAGTATAATTGGGAATTTGATTGAATCATCGATGCATACGGCTTTATCTAATCTACCTTTTAATCTTAAAACATTCTGTGCATCTATGAATGGTGAAAGTTTTCGCAAAGGGCTAATTTTAGAAAGAGTAATATTAGTGTCTCTATTTAATGCGGTCATTTCTTTCTTGTAATCCTGTAACTGGGCTGTCTGGTACAAGAAATTTTCACTCCATTTCAGTTCCTCAACTGACAAGCATTGGTTTACAGATTTCTTCTTTTTCATTTCATTAGTTGATAGTAAAGACATAAATCTTTTCACATAGGCCATGCATCGAACTAAACGTTCCCACTTTGAAAATCGGTAGACATCTATGAGAGGTTCCTCCTCTGCTACATGAGCCACCAACAATCGTTGCTTTCTGATTTCAGCATCTTCGTTATATTTCTGTACGCCAACATTATTTGGCCAACAAGTTTCTGCTTCATACAGGAACTTCGGTCCCTTATACCAAGGGTTTTTCCAAGTAAAGTCTGGATTACTAGTTTGTTTTGTAGCCAAGTCCGCAACATTTAATTTAGTAGGAATGTACCGCCATTGTTCTGCTTCGGACAACTCCTGGATTTCTGCTATACGGAACATTACAAATTGTTTGTAATCTCGTGGGTCAGATTTTATCCACGATAGAACAGCCTTTGAATCGCTCCAATACGTTATACTGGTCACTTTCAAGTCTATTGCCCTTTTTATGTTGTTTCCTAAGCGTGCTCCCAATTCCGCCGCGAGTAGTTCCAGTCTTGGAATTGATATTGGTCGTAATGGTGCAACTTTTGCTTTAGAACATATCAAGGAAACATCTATGTTGTTGCGATTCTTCGCTCTTAGGTACACCACCGCTGCATATGCAACCTCACTTGCGTCCACAAAGACATGCGATTCAATGGAGTCTGCATCCTTATTAACCGTAGCGAAGTAACATCTCGGTATCTTCACATTTTTCACACCGCCAAGCAGCGACAGCCATTTGTTCCACTCATCAACTAGCTCATTAGGAATAGCGTCATCCCAGCTAACTCCACTTCGCCAAACTTTTTGAAACAAAATTTTTACGTCAATAATGTAAAAGGTAAGCATCCCTAAAGGGTCGAATATTGACATCATCAATCGTAGCAACTCTCTCTTCGTAGGTAATCTATATCCACTTAGAACATCCTCAGTGGCTTTGGTAAACTTCAGATCAAATGTGAGCATATCAGTGTCGGTTTGCCAATGGATTCCCAATACCTTCTCTGCCTCAAATGTATGGTCTATACGCCTTCCGGCCGAGCAAAATTGAAATTCCTGGCCTTGGTTACCTATAGCTTTCAGTACTGCGTTAGAATTTGAAACCCAATTGCGAATATGGAAATTTGCTTTCTTATGAATGTTTCTAACCTCATTGACTAGATTAATCGCTTCCTCCACTGTGTCGACGCTATCCAGCATGTCATCTACATAATGCCTTTGTAAAATACATTTCACTGCTCGCGGAAACTCGGTTTCGTATTCGCGTGCATTACTATTTTTTACCAGTTGTGCCAACGATGGTGAACATGTTGCCCCAAAACTCATAACTTGTAGCAAATAAACGTCTGGTGGTCTGCTATCGTCACAATTTCTCCACAGGAAACGTTGTGGAGAAATTTCTCCACTTCTTCTTTCACGAGTACTCGATGAAACATCTCTTTAATGTCGCCACTTATACCAATTTTTCCGATTCTGAAATTAACAAGAACATCTACCAACGAAGTGAGCAGATCTGGACCTTTCTCCAAACACGCGTTTAACGAAACTCCGTCATATTGTGCAGCTGCATCCCACACTAGTCTTTGCTTTTGTGGTTTATTCGGATTACTGACTGTAAACATCGCTAAGTACCATTTACGTGGATAATACCCCTCGGCTTCGTTAGGTTTCAGCTGGCGTATATAACCTTTCGCCTTCATGTCATCGATGTGATCACATACCCAGTTTTGCAATGTTACATTGGAGTGCAGCTTGCGCTCAAAGCACTGAAGTCTACGCAGCGCCATTAAGTAATTATCCGGCATAGTAATGTTATTTGATTTCCAAAGCAATCTTGCTACAAAGTATTCACCATTTCGACTTATTTTTGATTGCATACTTTTTTGTTGTTCCAACTCCATATTTTCTAGTTTTTTCTTACTTTCAATAACGTTTTCATTACTGACAAAATCTTTCACTAAACGCTGCAAACTTAGATCATCATCGCATTCACAGATGTGTAAATTTAACGTTTCCCTAATAGTATTAGGTTCGTGCTTAATTATTCCATATATGGTCCACCCGAGTCGAGTTTTCGTTGCAGCTGGCTCATTCTTGCCTCCCTCTTTGAACTTCATTGGCATAGCTACCTCTTTATTGCTTAGGCCGATTATCATTCGAGGCCTAACGTTTTGATACGATTCTACTGGTAGTCCCTTTAAATGTTTATACTTATCGGTAAGTTCTGTCATATTTAAAGATTGCTCGGGTAGCTCCAGCTTAGCTACTGAACGCACATTGCACAACGAATACCTTTTACCTTCGCGTATTTTGGAGACTTGCAGGTTGACCAGCTCAGAATCAGGTTCCTTGCGTACCGTACCATCTGTCCATCGTAAACAAAGATCTTTCGTTTCACCTTTAATCCGCAGTTGTCTTAATACGTC